CACAGCATTAAATTATGGAAGTTAAAGTGGAGTCAAACTGCATTAATTCTACAGTGTAGATGCACCCTAAGACTGAAAGATTTACTCTCAGAATTAGGCCAGGAAGGAGGGGACATTTTCTAGGGTTATCTCTGGAACTCAGTGCACACTTGGTTGATTTTCCTGACTTATTCTGCATATAACCCACCAGCTTATATACAGAATGAGGAAATGTAACAATGCAAAGCTAGGATCTACAAATTGAACTCAGGGCACACAAAAAGATGAAAGAGAAGGGACGTGTGGGCATGACACTCATTCACACTTTCATAAATCATTGCTCATGAAGCCTTTGATAATTGCCCAGATGCAGTCAAAGATTTACAAGAAACCAGTATTTTGGTCAGGAGTAGACTGCAAGGTTGATTTCACAAGAATAATATGTATCTGTGACTCAGTTGCTTCTAGCTCAGTGTGCACACTGCCTCCGTCAAAAATGCTCTTTGAAGTAATGCAGGGCGATACGAAATCTCTGCCCGGGGTCCTGCAAATTATGAAGTAGCCATCCCATATTAAAGCAATCACTTGAAGTGGCAGTCATCAAGTCACAAATGTGGCAATGTGTTACATTCAGTTTAGCAAGCTTTCCAGAAAATTTTAAATTGGAATCTTTTTTTTCTTTGTCATTGGAGTCATTAACAGCTTATGAAGCAATTATTGCTTTGATAGAAATAGAAATTTTGCAGCTGAAAAATTAAACACTAGAAACCTTAATGAGAAACTTTCCATGCATCATGGGCCATATTTGTTTTATAGTATGTCATTATAAATCTCTTTTCTGAAAACCATGTTACCAAGATTGTGGTTTTCCACAAGCTGTGAGCCCCCCTCCCCCCTCACAGAAATTAGCAGCAAGAAACAATAACATATGGCCTTTTCCTCCTTAATTGGGAACATTTGGCACCCTATAGTTTGGCACACAACACTCAATGCTGATCGGACCAATCTTCCCTTTCCAAACTCTACTCAGAGAAAGGGATGGTTCTTTTTGGTAAGAGTTAAGGTAAGTTTTGTGTATGTATGTGTGTCTGTCAGGAACAACTTGGGAAACTGCAAGTCACTTCTGGGTGAGAGAATTGGCTGTCTGCAAGGACGCTGCCCAGGGGACACCCAGATGTTTGATGGGGTTTTTTTTTTATCATCCTTGTGGGAGGCTTCTCTCATCTCTCCAGATTCAAACTGCTGACCCATCAGTCAGCAATCCGGCCGGCACAAGGGTTTAACCCACTGCGCCACCAGGATTAAAGTACAGTACAGTCATTGACCTATAGATTATTTCACCCATGTTGTCTTTTTTAAAACAGATATTTTGTCTAAATTTCTAGACTTAAACATGAGTATATTGGTTACTTGAATAGGCAGTTCAGAGTAGAAAAAAGTTGGGAAGTGCTAATCATTTCTCTCTTGCTGCTTTTCCACAGCCAACCGCTCATCTAGAAGTGAATTTTCCAGTGCAAAATGCCAGTGGGTTGCTTTTCCCTGCATTTGTGCCAAGCAATTATAGAGGAGCGGGTTTGCGTACTACAAATCAAGGTTACTTCTCTAATCTAATCTTACTCTCTCTAAAGACTTATTACTGAATCCAATCCAAAATATTTTACACCGGCTGTTGGTACAGAACACACTGCAAACAGTTGGTTCTTTTCTTCAGAAAATAGCGGGCCACCATGCATCTATAATATGTCACTTACAATATTGTATTTGACTCTGGAGTGAAGAGAGGTGGTTTCTTTTCACATGTAGTCTGGATCTTGCTTTGTGCAACACGGTCACTTAATGCCTTACTTTAAGACTTGTAACATAATCCACATCAGATAACTACTGCTCATAGACCTTTTTTCAAGGAACTAGTGCCAAACAGAATTGGTCAAGCATGCAAATACAAATACTTATGAAGTAGCTGTTCCAGGATACAAAATAAAGAATAGCCTATTCTATGCTTTATTTTTTAAAAATCTGTGTATAGTGACCCCTCCACATCTTTGGTTTTGACTTTTGTGGATTTGACTATTCTCAAAATTGATGTAAAATGTTCTAAGAACTTCTAACTCAATGGTTCTCAACCTGTGGGTCCCCAGATATTTTGGCTTTCAAGTCCAAGAAATCCCAACAGCTGCTAAACTGGCTGAGGTTTCTGGGAGTTGTAGGCCAAAACACCTGGGGACCCACAGGTTGAGAACTACTGTTCTAGATCCTCCAGTCTGACCTTATAGTCAACGTCCTCCAATCATACTAGAGGACTTAGAGATCTGTAGAAAGCATACCTCCCTAGGAATTTTATGGGAATATACTCTCTAGAAATCTCTAGCTTCTCATTGGATTGTTTGGTCAGCTTTCAGGGGAACCTGACCACAGAGACATACTGGAAGGCCTTGACGTTCCAAGAGAGGGCTCTCTCAGCTTAAAAAAATAGCAATGTGTAATTTATGGTTTTTATAGGGATCTGTGAATCTATTCTGTTTTCATTTCAAATTTCAGGTGCCACCATTCTGTTTTTGGGAAGATTCTGAGAGATTAGGAGGGGGACCATTTGGATTTCTAATTTGGGATTCTGTTCCATTTGTGTTTCAGGAAGAATCTTCCCGAAAACAGAATTGGGGAGCCGTTCGAAAACAGAATGAAAACAAAACTTCACACACCTCTAGTTTACTTTCATGTGGGACGTGTGCCCCTAAACCTAGTAAATGTGGAGGGCTGACTGTATTCATTTTAGTTATATCCTGCCTTTTCCTCAAAGCTGGGACTCAAAAACTGTGTATTCTAAATCTAACATCACGTAGTCAGGGCACCTTCAACTCCCAACTTTTTATTCAAGGCAACTGAATAGCTAGTATAATTTGTATAATTCAATTAGAGCCCTAAAAATATTGGGTTGAATCCAGATCAAGCATGCAGTATTAAAGTCAATAAAGGTTTTAAAAACTATTTGTTCCTTTGGTTTCAGTAAGAATCAAAGCAGAGTAGTACCCCTGCATTTGTGGGAACATTACCCAAAAAATTACCTACCGTATATACTCAAGTATAAGCCGAGTTTTTCAGCCTTTTTAACTTGAGAATATACGGGTCCTACATCTAATAAAATGTGTGATCGCTAAGAATTTCCTATGTTCTTCAAGAAATTTTACAGGAAGTCCCTAGGGGACTAGGCAAATTCCTAGAGAGGATGCCTCTCTGGGAATTTTCTTGGTCCTCTAGAGCAGTGTTTCTCAAACTGTGCTCCTCCAGGTGTTTTGAACTTCAGTGCCCAGAAATCCCAGCCAGTTTACCAGCTGTTAGGAATTGTGGGAGCTAAAGTCCAAAACATCTGGAGGAGCACAATTTGAGAAACTCTGTTCTAAAATGACTCTATGACCCTTACTACATTGCCATATAATCCAGATTATCAAATCAGATAATTCACATTATTTGCTTTGAACTGGATTATATGAGTCTACATTGCCATATAATCCAGTTCAAAACAGATAATCTGGATTTATATGGCAGTGTGAAATCTAGGTTCTAATCTGTGAAATCTAGGTTCTAATGTATTTGCATTCTAAAAACGGTGCAATCTAAAAGCTTACAAAAGGCATGGGAATTATGAGTATATTTGAAACAGCAGAAGCAGATTCAGTCTTGCTCCTTTTCTAGCAAGGGAGGGTTTTATGAAAATAAAGTGGCCTATTTTCACTGAACCCTCTTACAGTAAATTATATAGCACTTGAGTTCAGAGTTCAAACTGCAGAGAATTACCAATAAACATTCACACTGCTTCATTTTAGAAAAAAAAATCACATTTCCACACTATGTCTATATTTGCATATTCATGACTTTTTCTAAGCAACAACAATAAAAACTCACAGGATCAAACCCTCATAAAGACACATATTCAAAATATACATTTTCATGTTATTTGCAGAAGTCTTCTTTCCAGTTTCATAATATAAAGGAAAGACCTGCATGCAAATGACCCAGTACGTGATTTGCCTCTTTCTATGTTAATAAACCATGTCTGGGCACAGTCACAAAACAAAAATAACTTGCAAACTTTGTTTGTAGGTATCTAGGGTAAAAAAAGTGAGATTTTTGTTTTCCAAAAAATTATATCCCATAGAGCAGGGATCCTCAAACAAAGGCCCAGGGCCGGATATGGCCCTCCAATTGCTTTTAAATACCTTTATTTTCTGGCACTTTTCCCATGCCTGGGGAAGCACCTGTCAAGTATTGTCAAAGGCTTTCATGGCTGGAATCACTGGGTTGTTTTAGGGTTTTCAGGCTTTATGGCCATGTTCTAGAAACATTCTCTCCTGATGATTCACCTGCATCTATGGCAAGCATCCTCAGAGACCTCATTAACCTCTGAGGATGCTTGCCATAGATGCAGGCAAAACATCAGGAGAGAATGCTTCTAGAACATGGCCATATAGCCTGAAAACCTACTATAACCCAGCCCTTCGAGTGCTCACACCCTGCTCTGCCACAGAATACATGATTGAGTCAATTTGATTTTTCCAAATTAGGTAATCAAATTCTTTAAGCAGGCACCATTTCTATTTGAATGTTTCTATAGTAACTTTGGCAACAAAGGAGTGCTAAGTGAAAGTCAAGAAAGCATAAAAGGCAAATGCATTGTAAACAACATTCTAGATCAGGGCCTGGGAACATGTGGGTCTGCCTTTTTTTTAAGTCCACACATTAAAAACAAGAATGTGGGTAGAGGAGGCAAGTTGAGGTATCAAGAGACAACTGCTTATTTAATAGATGGCAGGGTTCTTCCCTGATGCAAAGTTACACTCCTTCTACGTTCAACAGCATGGAGATAGAATATCACACTACTAACATTGGATTAGCACTTGTTTAGTTGTCCAATAATCTCAGCTGTTGTTTTTATTATCTGGAAAGGCCCCGGTAATCCTCTTTCGTCCCACCCAAACATTATCCTGCATACATAGAATAACAATGGAATAAATACTGTCTCTTACCTGCATATTATCATTAGGAAAAGGGCTTTGAAACCCCGACTTAAGGTGCACATCATTGGAGTTGGCTCCCAAAATCCTTTTATTCCCTAGAAGCAAACAAAGGAAAGCCTTATTTATACAGCATTATAAAAAATATGAAAAGAGTTTTAACAGGTGACATGAAGATACTCATGTGAACACCTACAAAAGCAACTTTTTTCCTATAAAAAAGCCCACAACTCCAAAATTAGAAAAATTGCCAAGAAGTAGCAAATTCCTGTCATCCTTCACCACAGATTATGTTGCATAGGGCTTTGGTAACTGAAATCCACATCATCTGGAGGCCCATAATCGTATCCTCCTCCTTGTTACTGGTCACACAGGCACCTCTACTGTTGTCAGAAAAAGGAGCCCACAAAAGCCAGTTCACATGGAATCATAGACCCTCATGGGCCATCCAGTGCAACCCCCTCCCAAGAAGCAGGAAAATTGCATTCAACGCACCCCTGACAGATGGCCATCCAGCCTCTGCTTAAAAGCCTCTAAAGAAGGAGCCTCCACCACACTCTGGGGCAGAGAGTTCCACTGCTGAACAGCTCTCACAGTCAGGAAGTTCTTCCTAATGTTCAGATGGAATCTCCTTTCTTATAGTTTGAAGCCATTGTTCTGCGTCCTAGTCTCCAGGGCAGCAGAAAACAAGCTTGCTCCCTCCTCCCTATGACTTCCCCTCACATATTTATACATGGCCATCATGTCTCCTCTCAGTCTTCTCTTCTGTAGGCTAAACATGCCCAGCTCTTTAAGCCGCTCCTCATAGGTTTTGTTCTCCAGACCTTTGATCATTTTAGTTGCCTTCCTCTGGACACATTCCAGCTTGTCAACATCTCCACATGGAGCTCTGTGTCCAGCTAGGAACAGTGACACCAACACAGAGGGCAATCCAACTGGGTCTATGCGTTTTCAGTCCAACTGGACTGTGCAAATACCAATATGGGGCTGCAATGGGTTTAGCCGGGCACATCTAGACATGTCTGGGATGGATATGATGGCCAATGTTGACTCACTTTTGTTGCAGTAAGTCATAGCAGGACCAAGTGTGTGTGTGTGAAGAAAAACCTTGTGGTGTTAATTATCTTATACAGCTGGAAAAGTAGGTCAGCCTACAATATTGAACCACACCCAATGGTATATACCTGTATGTGTTTTTACAGTGTGTGTGTAGGTGGTTGTTGGTGGGTTTGAGTAGTAGAGAGCTGGTGGATGCTGGAGAGCTACTCTGAAGGAGGCTATGGTGAAATAGCCATTTATCCAAGGTTTATTTTTGCTCTCTATTCTGCTATAAGATGAATATGCCTTATTTTGTGGACTATGTAAGTTTCTTGCATTGTTTGATTTTTGTATGCAAGTTTATATCTCTGCTAAGTAAAGAGTAAATCTTTTTCTGTTTCATGTTTACTCTGGTCTGTGAGTCTTTTTTCATTTGGATTTTGGGCAAAATTTGCTGCTGCGTAACAACTTTGCTATAATGCCATTAACTCCCATAACAACATTTTGTAGTTTAATGATACCCAACTACTCTGCATTTGAGAATCCAAAACGTCCCTTCCTCAACTGCAAATGTTGCAATGGCAGTGGAAAAATAACACTATAATAGCATAGTGTGATAGGAGTCCCTGGTAGCGCAGTGGGTTAAACCCTTTTGCTGGCAGGACTGAAGACAGACAGGTCGCAGGTTCTAATCCAGGGAGAGCGCAGATGAGCTCCCTCTGTCAGCTCCAGACATGAGAAAAGCCTCCCACAAGGATGGTAAAACATAAAAAACATCTGGGCGTCCCCTGGGCAACCTCCTTGCAGACGGCCAATTCTCTCACACCAGAAGCAACTTGCAAGTTGCTTCTGACACAACAAAAAAAGCATAGTGTGATAGGGCAGATGGTTAAAGCAACAAAAAAAGCCATGAGGAAATTGGAAGGTCAAATTAATGTCATTAAAAAAGACATTCGTCAGGCCTTCCTGGAAATGTCTCTCTTTTGTTTTGACAACCCTTTCTCCATTAGCTACTTGATATAGCTCACTTATTAGTTGTCCCCTGAGCTTGGAATGATTCCTTTAAAAAAAAGACTAGCTGTCCCCTGCCATGCAGTGCTGTGGCCCAGTCTGTGTATATGTGCTTTGTGTGTGTGTGTATGTGTGTGTAGATGTGTGGTTGCATATATATGTGGGTTTGCACATGCATTGTAATGTAATTTTTGTTTTTTAGCTTTTAAAGTCTCTTCCGCTGTGTTTTCCGGTGTTTTTATGAGTGATGGTCACTTGTTGGCCTGATCGGTGTATTGTGTCCAAATTTGGTGTCATTTTGTCCAGTGGTTTTTGAGTTATGTTAATACCACAAACTAACCTTACATTTTTATTTACATAGATTATAAATCTCAGAGTTCCTATAACCAGCATAGCAATTAGGGAGAATTTTGAAAACACAGTCCAAAAAAGCTACTACTACTCAGAGCTCATCTGAACCATAGTTTATCAAACTCTGCTCCTCCAGATGTTTTGGATTTCAGCTCCCACAATTCCTAAGAGCTGGAAAGCTGGCTGGGATTTCTGGGAGCTGAAATCCAAAACACCAGGAGGACCATGTTTGAAAAACACTGAATTCTGAACAATCGCATCAGAAGAACTTAGAGCCCAAGTATGTCAAGGATTGGCAACATGAGTTCCCTCTCGCACACACACATGTTGTTCTACTGCAACTCTCAGCATTCCTCTTCAACAACTAAGCTGGTTAGAGTGACTGGGAGGTACAGACAAGAACATCTGAAGGATTACAATTTGTTCTTCTGAAATAGACTGATAGAAGAAGCAACATTTCCAGTATTTTCTACAGCGGCAGTGAAGCTTCTTGCTATATGAGACCACAATTCAGCTAAGCCAATATCTTCCTTCTACTATGCACCGGTCAGATTTTTCCAGCAAGCCAAATGAAGTATCGTAAAGGCAACAACCCCCACCACTGACCTGCAACATTTGCAGTCCACGGATATGCTTTCTCTGTACATGAAGACTGCATTAGCTGCCATGGCAAATGTCATTTGATCCAGCTGTCCTCCATTAACTTGTCCAATCCCTTTAATAGCTTTCTAAGCCACTAGTGATCTCCACACTTAACTCTCCCATTCCCAAACAGTTTCTTAAAAATTAGGTTGGCATTATTTATCTTCTATATCTTGCACGGTTATAAGAATGGCAGAATCCCTCTGCCAATGCTACGCATGCTGGCTAAAGGATATAAGGAGCTGCAGTCCAAAAGAATAACATTCTCAAGCCCTGGTTAGATTTCATTCCTCCAGCAGAAAGCCTAATTAAAGTGATAATTACTCTCCTCAGTTATGTATTATTTAGGATAAGAGTGTTTCACCCTGCTGAACTCCGTGGCTCAGTGGGAACTGATACTTAGATCTCCCAAGTCCTAGTCGTACACTCTAACCATTACACACACTGTCTCTCAAAAGCACTACCTGAACAATTTTCCTGATTTGGAGCAGCAATTCACCTTTTAAATAAGGTCACTGTTGGTTCTTCCAGACAGGCCCTATATCCCAGGATCTGATCCCAGGTTTTCTGTTTATCCCAGATTATCTGGCGATGCGGATTCATATAATCCAGTTTAAAGCAGAAGACCTGGGATCATATCCTGACTTACAGGGCTTGTCTGGAAGGGCCCTGTGTTCCCTTGTTTCAAAAATACCAGTATCCCAAATCATTTACAGTACTAATGAATGTTCCCATCCCTGATCTATAGAGAAGATACAATTTTTACTCCCTTTCTCAACATTACTTAGACAACTTCATTGTGGCTCAAGAGCAGTACATGTGAAAAAGAATCCTTGTAGACAAGTTAAACATGAGCCAACAAAGTCATGCCATGGCAAAAAAAGACAATGGGATTTTGGCCTGCAACAATAGGAGTCTAGTGTCTAGATCCAGAGAAGTCATGCTAACCATCTATTCTTCCTTGGTTAGACCACACCTGGAATACTGTGTCCAATTCTGGGCACCACAACTGAAGGCAGAAATTGACAAGCTGGAATGTGTCCAGAAGAGGGCGACTAAAATGATCAATGGTCTGGAGAAATAAGCCCTATGAGGAGTGGCTTAAAGAGCTGTGCATGTTCAGCCTGAAGAAGAGAAGGCTGAGAGGAGACATGATAACCATGCAGAAATACGTGAGAGGAAGTCATAGGGAGGAGGGAGCAAGCTTATTTTCTGCTGCCCTGGGGACTAGGATGCAGAACAATGGCTTCAAACTACACGAAAGCAGATTCCATCTGAACATGAGGAAGAACTTCCTGACTGTCAGAGCGGTTCTCCAAGAACTCTCAAAGATGATTGCGAATGGTTCCGAAATGACTTCCACTAGTTCCTGTTCAAATGGTCCCTGTTCAAAAAAAAAGTTGGGAACTACTGCTCTAAACTAATCCTGGACAACTGTTAACTCAATTAAAATTCCTAATACCTTTGTGAGAATTAAGATTATTCCAAGGCAAAGAGTATTTCCAAGCTTCCCAGCCCTCATCTTTCTTGGTATTTTCTTTTCTTCCTCAGGAGTCCAATTATTCCCAAAGATGCCCACTTTGGTTAAAACAAATCTTGCTTTGCTGAAGCATTTTAACAGCCTCTGGTTTGAATGGTTTGGAGAATAAGCAAAGGTCCAAAGCCTGAGGGGGGTAAATGCATCCCTTTTGCTTTCTTCCAGGAAGGAACATCACCTACAGAACTGCTTAAGGCTAGAACGTGCATGGTATTTCCACAAGGTAAACATAGACACAAAAGTACATTGTATAATTATACAGCTAATTAACTTCCTTGTCGACTTCAATAATTGCCTTCATTTACTTGCTTATTTACCTGGTTAGGTGATGCTAAATTAAAGGGAGAGATAATATTACAGTAGGGAAAAGAAACAGCAGACTGCGTGAAAATATGTGCTAGCTAGCAGGTAGAACTGGGAAGCTGCTGAATCTTTATATATGATATATTAGGGAAGAAGGAAGGCTGGCCCAACAGGCAGCAACGCCAAAGGACTTCCAGGTCCAGCTGCCTCGTCCAC